CTTTTTGATACTCAATACTGCTTCCTTACGACCCAAGGTCAAAAAAAAAAAAAAAAAAAAAAAAAATCCCCCACCAAACTGAGAGCTATCAGCCTAATTACAGAGTACTATGACTGAACTCATGCTTCTAGTCGTATGACTTCAAACATAAGGGTTATTGACTTTCGCTTTCATGAAATATTTTAAGTTAGATCAGCTCTGATCTCAAAAATGCCATAACCACTAAGGCACAGCTGTGGCAGCTGAAAGGTTTTAGATTCCCAGCTGGCACTGAGGTATCCGCCTGTCTGCTGCAAAGACTTGCTCCCTTGATATGTAGCAACAGACCCCTAGTTTATCCCCATTCCCGCCCCCMAAAAAAATCACCCAATCACAACACACTAGGTCAGCAGTGAACTTGACTTGGATTTAAATTTACTAAGATAATCCGACTCCCTAATGCATTACAAAAAGCCCTGCTAGCAGTGTTAAAAAGTAGCTCTCCCACACAGGCAGAGCTTTAAGCAGCTAACTGAGTGGAATAAGATATTTTAGATTTCATAGTGGGGGCAGGAGCAGTAGAAACACCCCTCAAAATCCGAAAGCATAAACCTAGATTAAGTATAAAGATGAATATTAGCCAAAGGCTTAAAACTGATGGGTAAGCACTGTGCCTTAGTTGAAACAYGGTCAACACCTGTTCCCAGAGCTGCATTTGAATAATAGTGGCCAATACATGATAGGTATGGTAGCAGTTTTTAAACTAATGGGTCATTAACTAAAGCTGCAAGGACTGTGTCTAGGAAAGAAAAGAGGGAGAATTCCCTCAGCAAAAGATCATCTCATGAAAAACCACTTCTGATCCTTCTGTGACAGATTCAAAAGAGAACACCACAAATTCCTTAAGACAAGCAAAAGGTAAAGCCCAAAGACTTTTTGTCAAGGATCAGAAGAGTTGATACTGTAGGTTCCACTGGCRAAATGGTTCCCATTTACTTAATGTTCTCTGGAAGCATGCCTTCTCCCACCACTAATCTTCAAATTTAAAAGCAGTGAAGAATACACCAGCTAACGAGGAACTCACTCTCTTCACTCTCATTAGARATAAGAAACATTCAGTCACCTCAAAAAAAGCATTGTTGTTCCTGGTTATGTCCAGCAGATGTTGTTTGTAGAACTGTTAATACTTCAAGGCTGAGAAGTCGCTACAACAGCCTATCTGACAATTCTCTTTAGCAGCCACTTTAGGGTAGCAATGCAAGAAAGGATTGAAGCAATCTGTAATTATAGGTGGAGGTGGCTGTTGGCTCACCTTTGCCTTTAAGTAGCTACAAAGAGAAAAGTAGCACCTGTTTCTGCAGGAACAGCATCTCCACCTGCTACTGATTACCATTTTGGTCTCCACCAAGGGCTGGGAGGAGGAGAAGGAGAGGGAAGGAAGCAGGGGGGTGGGGGGGAAGCTGTGGAACTCGTTAACAAATTATCCTGTAAGATTTACTACTTGGTTTGTTTTTTGTTTTCACCTTAACAGGAAGGAGGTGGGGGCAGGGAAGGGGAGTTAAAGGCCCAGATACCCCCCAAAGTGAAATATGTACTGAAGCGCAAATGGTTTAGCATTTTTGAATGCATTCAAAGTTCCTTCATTTACATATTTTTCTCTCCATCTGTAAAACTTAGCTGGCTCACAACCAAATACAACTTCTAAAATTGTGCCTACTTTGTAAGGCTGTAGAAATGGAAGACAAATTTGTTGCAGGGTATTTCAGAAGAAAAGACAGGCTGTTTCTTTTGAGACGTTTCTTAAAATTAGGGAAAATAGATTAAATAATTTACTGTAAAGCTTCTCTCATTAACACAGTACAAAAGAAGGCCAGCGATCTTAAGCATACGTTATGCACCCATAAAGATAAAAACTGTTCACTGCTTCATACTTTTTTGTTGTTGTTGTGAGAAAAATATTGAGATTTTTGTAATTTTTTAATAACAGGAATATTCACAGTTCAAGCCCCTGAGTCTCCTCAAGTACTCTGCAGACTTACAAGCCTTAATTGGAAATCTTAAAAGATATTAAGTAGGTCTGTAGGGTGATGTGTTTATGCTATTTGATTGCCCTGTTATACTAATGCTCTTTGGAAATTTGCAGATTCACTTTTTCAGAACCAAAAAGTGATAAAGCTTGGGAGCACATGAAGAGCGAGTTTTTTTTGGTTGTGGTCTTTGTTTGTTTGTTTGGTCATGGTGGACTTTGGGTGGTTTGGGGTTGTGGGGGGAAGTGGRGTACACACATAGACAGAAAAAAAAATAGAAACCTCTGCAGAAGATCTACAGTAGATTAAGAACTACAGATAAACATCAAAATCCAACATCCAATCTCTCTGACAGAGAATACTAATTTGGAAATAAAGGTGGAATGTATTGAAACACAAACTTATCTTGCAGGTGAACAGGTATTTGAAATAACTGGCAGATTGTCAAATCATTAAGTCATCTTGGTAGCTTTATCTGCAATTTGAACAGCTGAAGTATTCCTCAAGTTAACTTACATTTTCACCATCTGAACTGAAAAATGTTTCTTCATTATACTATATTATGGTGTAAACACTGAACATGCAAGTTTAAGTACTTATTAACTTTTTAAAAGCAATTTATCAAAATCTATCAAAAAAGAGAAAAAAAAGTGCAAGTTTGAGATCTGTGCTTTAGGACAAAGCTTAACTTATGCACTATTCCTCCTTTCCCTCCCAAAGGGAACATGGGACGTATAGCTGTAACTAGAAAGCATAATAAAAAAGCCAAACAAAAAGAGAAAAAGCTCACCTAGCAAGCTTGAGGGGAAAGAATATACTAGACTCCCTGCCTAACATTTAAAATAATAATAGTAGTAATAAAGCTAATTTCCAGTTATTAATATTATAGTACATAGTATGTAGTTTTAAACACTTTTTCCTATCCATTTCCTGGCACACATATTCAGCATACTTTTTACATAATAKAAATATGTAACAATGCTCCATACACAAGCAGATTTGCAGCTACTTGAAATTCTCTGACTGGGATCCTTTCTATTATCAAGTAGCAGAAATCATCTGCCAACTTTGTCTTGTGCTTCTTGGCCCTAAGYGCAGCCATTATCTCAAAATTTTACTTTGTTTTCCACATTTTCACCTTTCAAAGCAGAAGAGACCTCTCTAAAGCAGAGCACATACAGAACACTACATACATTTTACTTTGCTTACCTGAATCTACATGAGCAGCTTTTGATAAACATAGTTCTTACAGATTACCTTTTATAAAGTATGCCTGACTAAGTAAATGCATTTTTAAAAACAATACAATATACATTAATACACCGTATGCAGAACGTTTATTACTACTAGGTAAAGATTTTTTAGGAAAGATATGCCAACAGTAAAGACAAGCACACAAAAGAAACTCCTTTCTACTAAATGCTATATAACTCAACGCTTTATACAGATGATGCAGAGAGATGAAAAGTCATTTGGCCTTAAAGTACACATCCCACACTCACTCCAGTTGGACACGGTCCCACGCTAGCCCAGGCACATGTTTTCCCAGAGCATTACTGCTTCCAAATGGGTTAGTTCAGTGTACTGAGCATGTTCACATTCACATCTATTTCCCAACTAAAGAGTCAAGAAATCACACTTAAAGTTGTTTACCAGTCTAATACATATGAACATATTGTACTCTACACAGTTAATTGCCCTATAGTATAGGAACAATTTTWGAAAATTTTATGGTACAACGTTCTTGGCTTTCTGAAAAAAAGGGCACTGAAGCATTGATAACTACCTGCTTTCAAATCTGTCATACCAAGGCTCTTCCCACTCAAGGAGCTGTTTTGCAAAGAAGCCTCTATGTTGCCAAGGGATACAGAACATAAAAGCCATAACAAATCCACTAAAAAGAAAGGCAAATGAAAACAAAAAGCATCAATACATCTGACATTTCAATAAGCATGATCTTATTTTGCCKTTACAAACTCTGTACCATGAATTCCAGATGTTCCACAAGCTGATTAAAGACTTGCAAATACTAAACCACAAATGATTATCAGATAGATACATATTTCTTGCAATGTTTTACTTCTCTATTCTACACAATTTAGCACCTAAAACATTCCAAGTTTTATTTTTAGACTCTGTTTTACCTAATTCAGCACTCTCAAGCGTGACACAGCACATTTATTATTCAGTGCTGAATATTTCATTACTAGCACTTGAAATTAAGCTTTTCCACTGACATACTTACAGCTGTTTATTAGGTGAGAAATGATACATAGTTGTCCCACCAGCTCCCCCTTTTCCCCATTTATAGACAGGTAGCAAAGATAATAAAAACGAACCCAGTCCATCCCTGGTTTTCACCTCGGCTGACCTACACCTCTTCATTTTATTAGGAGCCTCTAAGAGCAACTCTCTTGCCCGACTGAAACTTTAACAACCAAACCTGTGAGTCACCTTTTAGCACTGCCTACGTGAGGCTTCCTCCGTGGCCCCTAAAGCTTTCTAAGTCACAGAACCACTATATTTTTTCCTGAGAGCAGAAAGCAACTCCTGTTTAACGACAACTAAACGAAGTGGCAAACCATTCTTTAAAAGGTTTTCTGGCATGGCTTGGGGACTCCTGAGAAGTAGGTTACAGACTTCTCACCCATCCTCCCTAAAAGGCAAGGAGCTGTAGGCACCAAGAATAATAACCAAAAATATAACACCCCATTTCCCTATTTAAGTTTGGAGCARCCCCCGCCATGCACTATGTTTTTTTGAATAAAACTAAAAATGGAAATCTTCCCCCGTCACCACCGCTGTGCGTTTCTGTGTGTGTCGGGGGCTGATAAGGCCCAGGGTGGGAGCTGAGCGCAACGGCCGCTCCGGGCGCCGGTCGTGGGGAGGAGGTGCAGGCCCCCCCGCGCCGCGGCCTTGCTCGGCTGGGCCCGGCCCGGCCGCAGCGGGCGGGAGGGCGGGAGCGGAGGAGCGGGGCCCCCCGCCCGCTCTCACCTGTGCGCGTGGCGCCGCCTGCTGCTCCCCGCCGAGGCGCTCGCTCATCGTCCCGCGGCGGAGCCGGGCGGGGCGAGGCGGGACGCGCGGGCCCCGGCTCGGCCCCGGCCCAACGGTCGCCCCAGCACTGGCCCCGCCCCCTCGGCCCTGGGGCTAGGGGCGGGGCTTCCTGCCACGCACGCGCGCGCTGCTACTTCCGCTTCCGGCGGTTCGGGATTTATTCTCTTCCCCTTGGCGGGAGGAGTGTTATGCGTACGGTTCAATACTGCGGCGCTTCCTGCCTCGGGAAAGCGTCTCTAGGCAGCATGGCGGCCCCGGGTGAGTTTGGGCTGCGAAGTTTTTTTGGCTCCTGAGTTTTGGTTCTGGCCGCCACGCACGGAATTCGCTTGAGGGGAAAAAAGAAAAAAATCTATGGAAAGGAACCTCGCACGAATGGCAGGGCTCGCAGCCTGGTCACTTGGATCCACCAAAGGTCTCAAGCAGTTTATGTCCGCYGCCGGCCCTTACAGCCGCCGTTAACCCACAGCAGTCCGTTGCCGTTTGCCCCTCGCCGTTAACGGCTGCTAACGGCAAACGGGCGCGCATGCGCGGAGCGGCACTGCCGCGTCCCGGCTCGCCCCCCGCCTCGTGACGCGTCCGCGCGTTGCCAGGGTGAAGCGCCGCTGCGCGCGTAGGGCGTGTCTCGCCTCCCGCCAGCGGCCAATGGGAGCCGCGCTGGGGGGGCCCTCTGAGCCAATGGAGGGCGCGAGGGGGCGGGCGCGCGGCGGGCGTGGGGCTCTGGCTTGAGCGGGCGCTGCAGCGGCGGGCGCGGCGCGAGGTGAGCGAGCGCGGGTGTTGGTGCTGCCGCTCCGCGCGGCGGCGACGGCGAGACGGCCCGGGGGTAGGCGGCTCCTCTCAGCTCCCGCGGCGCTGCAGGGCTCCCCGGCCGCGCCTCTCGCCCTGCTGCTGCTCTGGCCGTGAGGGGGCGGCGGCCCGGCCCCGCTGAGGCAAGGGCAGCGGCCCGGCCTGCTGCGACGGCCTGCACCCGGCCTGGGGGTTTCCCTAGTGCCGTGGACTTGTCTCGCAGCGGTCGCGGTGCCTCAGCCCGCCAGCCTCTCTAATCCTCGGCCAGTAGAACGACCTTCTCACCCAGGGCTTGGAAAGCCTCTGCCCTGGCAGCATTGAAGTTCTTTCTCCAGGCTTGTGTTTCCTGTGCCACTGGTAAAAATAAGCAGGCTAACAAGGGCAGAGCTGTATTCAGACTTTGACTTAACTGTAGCCCACCTATGGGCTCCTGGCTGATAGGTTACCTTTGTGTGCAGCACTCAGCCCAAGTTACCTCCAGTACTCCTGCTTTAGCATTAGTACAGCAGAAATGGTTTAGTAGGTGATGAAGCAGTAGCAAGAGATCTTGATTCAAAGTACCTGAAGTGAAAATAAGATCTCAGCTAGTACATTTTACCATTGCTCAAAAGGTAATATTGATGTTAGTACAGTCCTATCACTTTTTTCCTTTCCTGGTAGTTAGGCCTAGTCATCTTTTACTCTTGTTTTCTGTGCAAGAGGTTATTTCAGCTCCCCTRGGCCTTGTTTTCCAATGTTATCAGTATTTTGGTCTGCTGCCGTGGCGTATGGGCTTTTTAGTTCTTGAACATCTTCACCAGAACTCTTTGGTGCTTGGTCATTCTTTGACTGACAAAAAGGTAAGTTTTAAATCAGTGAGACAAGCCTTGAGATGTGTGAGCATAATGTAATAAGGCCTTTTCTTGGAAGGAAGCAAGGCACAGCAAAGAATGAGCACTGTTAGTGCTCTTATGTGAGGTTTGCATGCAGAAAAGCAGAGAAACTTTTACTTTCTTTCAACTGAAAGTCCTCAGGGGATAAAGGTTTTTTACTCTGGAAAAGATGACCTATTAACCCAACAATTAATGTGTTGGTTTTTTTTTCTCATTTTAGTCCTTTTATGGCCAAATCTTTTCGCTATTTTGACACTCAGCTTTAGCTTTGAATGATACTCAGTATTTCCTTCAACATTTGGTAATTTCATCTTTTAAGCTTTTGTAGGTCTTTCATTATTAAGTTATTTATTAATATAATACTTTTAACACAACCAATTTTCAGGTAACTAATAGTGCTTCATCTCAAAAGCTTCTAGTCTAACTAGTCAGATATTACAGTAGAAACACTGATTTTCTCCATTTTCTAAGGACTGTTTTCTCTGTGACATGAAAAAATCATTAAAAATTAAGTCATACTTTTTGTATTAAATAATAATTCTACCCTGRATTTGAAATTTCCTGAATTTAGTCTGTTTTTTGGTTCATTTGAGTGACAAATTAAGAATAAATATATAGATGTTTTTTCCATTTCTACCATAGGAGTGGGAAAAAATACCCAAGTATAAAGCTGAATGAAAGTTTGCTAACCAAATGCTGCTACCATCAAGGTGAAAACTTTTTTTGTTTTGCAGTGCGGTTGTTGTCTACACTAAGCCAGCCAACCAAAACTAAAGATGAGATTAAGAGTAGATGATTTACAAAAAAGATACTAAGCATGTAGTGTTGTCAGAGAGATAAACAGATTGACATTTTAAGATATTTTAAGACATTTAAATGTTACGTGAATGACAGGTGGGAAGACTAAGCACAGCTAACTATATTTGTTGTGTGTTTTCTCTTAGTGCTCAAGTAAGGATGCCTTAAGCAGATAACTATGGATAAATATATTAAAGTGCAGAAGATTGGTGAAGGATCCTTTGGGAAAGCAATTCTTGTCAAAGCAAAAGAAAATGGCCAGCAGTACGTTATTAAAGAAATWAACATCTCTAARGTGAGYGAYTACTGTCATTAATTACTGATCTTTTTTGTTGTTTTGTTATTTGTTGATATTTCTGATCTCAAAAATCGCTGTTTTTCTTCTAAAGATGTCAAATAAGGAGAGAGAAGAATCAAGGAGAGAAGTTGCTGTATTGGCTAACATGAAACATCCAAATATAGTCCTGTACAGGGAGTCATTTGAAGGTAAAATAATARAGTGGAACTTGAAATAATAGTAATAAGTGACTAGCTTTGTGTTATTAATTGCATATAGTTTAAAAAACACTTAATTTTTAAATTTAAAATTAATTATTTTTTCATTAATGATTTTCACCTCCTTTTATTACTGTCCTCATTTCTTTCTGATTGCTTTTGAAAGAAACATACTTGTCTCTTCCTTATGTCATTTTTATTTTGGTTGATGCCAAAGTGAAAGGGTTACCTTTTTTGTTTCTACACGRTATACATGATTGTAAAAGGTAGAAAAATGGATTGCTACAAGTTTGCTTTACAAAGCTATGAAGGAAGGAGCAATTTAACTCAAAACKGAAAGAGCAATTTGGAAAAACATGTTTCAGTGGCATCCTTAGAAAGGAGGTGATTAACCAGTGGCCCAGAGTTCTCTCCTAGCTATCATTTCTTTCAGTGATAGTGTGAGAGTYGTGATAACTAAGGAATTTAGGAGAAAGATTTCACATAACTTCTTACAGTGAATGTTGTGGGAAATAATGAAAAGAGGTAAAACCTAGAAGTTTCGTTGTGTAGAATTAAAGACAGTATCTAAAAACTTAAATATTTGAAATTCATGAAGAAACTCTTTTGTTTTTCTGCTAACTTTAATGCCTTTTAGAGCATATGTTTTTAGATTAATGAGCAAAAATAAAAACCCAAAACAGAAGATTAATTGTTGCTTTTTATAAATCCACACAATTCACTTTTCTTTACTAGAGGCCTGTTCTTTAAATCTGATATACTTCATGAAGTATATTGTGTAATGCCCAGTTCTTGAGATTTCATACTGCATTTTACTGAAGCACATTGACTTTGAACATACTGTTTTGTTTCAAAGGTAGGTCTGTTATCCTAGGATAACATTTCAAAATAATTTCAATTGTAAAACTTAAGCAACCTACGAAGTATTCTAACCTCAAATGAGCAGTTATGTCGTTGATGTTTTGGAAGACAAATTTCAGAAACATTTTTGTGGAAATGAAATTTAAGTGACTTGGAGGCCTTAATTATTTTTGGCTCTTATGGCTAAAGTTTCACAGTCATAAGAAGTATTTGGGAGGAGTTTTCCTTGTGAGTGGCATGGGATCATGTGTACTTATTCACCTTTTTTCAAAATGACATGTAGTCTGTGAATACTGTCATTCTTGTATTTTACTAGCCTATTTGAGTTGCTGTTCATAAGATGTTAGAGTTTTCATCAATATGCCTTTAATTTGCTATTTGTTTTTACTTCATCTCTTTTCTCACCAGCAATYGAAAGGATTATATTGGGGAGCAAAACTTTAACTTGATATAAATGCATTCTGTTTTCTTAAACTGATTTTGGATGTCTCATACACTGTCCTTCAAAATGAAGCAATTCTGTTTTCTATATGTTGTCACCTCCTGGAAGCTTTCTTGTTGTTTCTCAGTGTCTAGAATGAACTCTGTCTGGTGYGACAACCAGTATTTGCTGTATTCTTGCACTATTTATGTGTATATTGTCCAAGTAAAACTGCAAGAATTAATTAGGTGGATGCAATTACTTGATTTAGAACTGTTATCTCTTTTTAGGGCTAGGTAATCTATGAATGTGTAAAATAGCAAGTAGGATGGAGAACATATTTTACACTGCATTCATAAAGTGACATCTTCAATTTCATATTGGTCTGGCACCTCACTCTGGGGCAATGGTTTAGTAGGTATGACTTTTCCCTTTTAATCCTTATAATCAAAGAAGGGAAACATATATTGTGAAACTCAAAGCAAATGCCACTTTTTCTTGAAGTTTGGAAGAGGGAAAAATAAAGGATATCTGAAGCTGCACAATGAAAAGTGTGGTTTGGGTTTTTTTGTTTTATTTTTCAATGATTTTCTTGGTGGTTCATGTTGAGACAAGCATTGTTAAGATACTCAGAAACATAGTAGAGAGGTATTATTATTATTATTATTATTATTATTATTATTATTATTATTATTGGCTTTGCTTTACAGAAAATGGCTGTCTCTACATAGTGATGGACTACTGTGAAGGAGGAGACC